CTTAAAGATTGTAACAGTATAATGTAGGGCAAACATTTTCTGTACTGAAAAATAGGTGGGACCAATATGTCCCACCGTCCTCAAAGGGTTAAAATGTCAGAGGAGCAGAAACTATCAGTACTGACTTATCATGAGGTTCATTTTATTTGGTTTTAGTAAAGATATTCAATTTTTATGTTTTTGATAGAATGAACTTTTTTTTAGGACGAATAGTAATGCATAGAAGAAATTTTGGTTGATAAGATACATTAAAAGTATATTTCAATATTCGAAATGAGTCAAATGATTTCATTCTGTGTAGAATACTAGATTATATTAATTGAAAATATATCTCTATTTAATTATAAGCACAGTTGAAACGAAAATCTTTCACAAGTACCAGAAATATTATGCTTATAACAATAATACAAGCACACATCTCCGTGATTCTTATTGTTTCACATGGTATTTCATCTTTGAATCTAAGACAGTTTGTACTGAGTGTTTCTTACTTACTTGTATATATATGTTGTGCCGAAGTTAGACTTCGACAATAAATTGTTGTTAAAGTTATTTTGCAACATTTATCTAAATATCTTTCATCAACAGATGAATATCATCGTGTTGAAAGATGCACTGATACTATTCCTTTCAGCGAAACAATATTCGTAACTATATTTATAAATATTTATTGTGAAGAACGTCAAGTTATTTAGAAATAAAGCATTTTGTTTACTAATCTCGATGAATTTCCTACTCATTTAGAGTACTTCAAATGTTCTAAAGACTCGAAAAGGCAAAAACTTTTATGATATAATCCGTGACAAACTTTAATTGATAGTAAATAAAAAATCGACTCATCCTTGAGCAGATGTCAACCTTTTCATCTATCAATTCAAATAAAGACAAATTAGACATGAGTCGATGTGCTCATAATTGTCACGTTGTGCTACTCATTATATTCTGTTGCAATTAAGCTTCTCTGAATTTTAAATTTGTAAATTCTTCAAAATAAATGTTTATAAATATAGTTACGAATGTTGTTTATAGCTGAAAGGAATAGTTTTAATGCATGGTTCAACAGGATGATACTTACTTGTTCACCAAAGATATTTAGTTAAATGTTGCAAAATAACTTCGACAAAATTTTATTGTCGAAGTTTAATTTCGGCAAAAAGTGTAACTTCGGCACGACTTATATATACCACTTTTAACTTAAATATTCAAATTATATGAAAAGAAAAACATAGCTGATAGAAAAGATGTTTCATACGAAACGTAGGCGAATGTTTCTTTTTCTTTTAGATATTATCAAATTTTTATCGTTACTTTAAAAGAAGAAAGAATGTCCGTTGTGAATCAACATTCAATAAAAAAAATCTTTGAGCGGAAGAGCTGAGTAGGCAGAATAGAGCATTTCTAAAAATTATATACAACAACCGTCATTATCTGTCATTAGGACTAAGAATATCTAGTGAAGTATAAAAAAAAATGCCGTTTGACACGCAAACTTCATCGAGGTCTGTTGCTTCAATTTCTCGAGCCACTACTTCAGATATTTGTTTCAAACAATGGAAGATAGTTCTTTGTATTCAACATGATTGGCGCGTCTTCAAAAGTTTTATTGAGTTTCATAAAAAAGGAAACGTTATTGAAATAATTACCATCTATTAACGGAATGTTCAGTCATCTTATGCTACTGAAGTGATGATTGTCGTTCTGTTATCCTAAACTATCCGTGTGGAAAAGATCTCTATCTGTACTACCTAATATAAGATTTCCAAGATCTAAGAGCGAAGCACTATGGAGTATTAGCATCAGCAAGGCGATTTTTGAGCCGCATCTGAAAGAAACGACCATCTGAAGATTAAGTGGTACGAGTTTCAGATTAGTTGAACAGTTGTGATTGGTAGTCAAGCATCTTGTATATCTTGAGAATCACTCTTAAATCTCGATGAATTGAAGAGATTTCTAAACAAAGAATAATATAAAATTAGTATGTAAACTAGAAGTTTTGGGACGGTCTGTAAGAAAGCAGGATTTGTCGCTCTTATTAAATCGACAATATAGCGAATTTTATGCTAATATCTATAGTTATAGATTATACTGCATGTGTAATCTATCAATTAAAAAATTTTCCGTATTCATAACTTTTAGTAGGAAAAATTTTGAAAAATTTAGCGGCAACTGTTTTTTTACGTTACTGTGTACCAATCTTGAACTTTTTTGAATTATTACAAATACTAACTAGTCTTCTATCTATATCTCTATATGAAAATCTTCATTGAAAGAACTAAAAGAATGTTTTGTCTATCCTATCACAATGTAAAAACGTCACGACAAAAAAAAAAAAACAAATCAAATTCTCATGTTCTGCAAAGTTTGCCACTACTCTCTATTTTTAAAGGAACTATTTAATGTGCAGACTATTTTTTATATTAATGATATGCTGAAAATAATCAATGTCATAGTTCCCAAAAGATTTTTTTTTCTATTAATCTCACTAGATCATACAGAGCACAAACATACACAGATAAAAAATTGATAATCGCTTGTGACTATTTCTCCTTTATTAAAAAAGAATCATGCAAATAGATGAATTGGTTTTAACATATAGCAACCTGGAATTAATTGATATCTGAAACCTAGTCTTCCTAGGTTGTTTTTTCTTCATGAATTGATTAATCTTCATTTTGAACAATAAAAAAGAACCTTTCTGACATGTCTTTAAAGAATAATATCGCTTGATTTTCATAGGCACATGTGTAAGAGGCTTCCAAAATTGTTCAATTAGATTCATTGTTAATTTTTTTTCGCACTATTATAAACACTAATAAGAATTTTCGAAGATGAAAGTGATTGCTAGTTTTCTAAGCTATATAGTTTCTGAAAAACTAAAAAACCGAGGTTTCAGGAATGGTACTTTTGAAAAAACGAGCAATCACTGTCATTTTCGAAAAAAAAAACTCTCTACACAAATCATTATTTGGATTCTTATTAGCGTTTATGACAATGAAAAGAAATTGAAAATAAAGCTGAGTGAATAATTTTGAGAATCACATAAATATGTCGGTACACATTGTTTTATATGTTACTTTCAAGTAAGCACACATATTCGATAGGAAGAAAACATATCTGTAAATTCATCAATGAGTCAAATATTAGTTGATTTTAAAAAACTTCAAAAAACGATTACAGATGAATCATTCTTAATTCTATATGATGAAAAAATGTTATACTACAAATTGCGCATTGTCAATAGATTATTTTTATTATGTGTCTCATCATTTTCCATCTTGATGATTACGTTAAATTTATAGCATGATTACGAAAAATAGTTTTTGTTCTTCTTCCTTCTGTCATTATTAATGTTCTTCATTCATTCCATGTTTATTTGTATTTCATCTTAAATTACATGAAATTGGATGCAGTGATATTATGGGTTTTTTTTTCTTTGTTTGTTCTGTACATTTTTTTTTTTTTTGAAATTTGAAGTGAAAATAAAACAAAAACCACGTCAGTAACCTTGCTGGCGTATAGCAGAAGCTAGAAATAAATTATAAACATTACGCAAGTAATCAACCATCTTGCCTCATAACACAATTTAAAAAGAATCTTGACTGATAGAAAGAAAAGGATTGAATGCATGTAATATTCTACGTCATTTGGAAGAAAATATTTATTCTATTTATATGTAAAATAATTTTTAATAACTTACGTCGATTTAAATCACAAAGTATAATTTATAATTTATTAGTCGATATGAAGAGACAAGTAGTTAATTTAACATTATTATTATATTTCATTTTTGTTAAATCACAAAAATGTCAACGTGTGAAGAATGTACAAAAAATTATCATTGCTCATTTTAAGATTTATAAATCGTGCTAAAGAAAATTACAAAAAAAAAGAAAGCTCTCTTCTATAATGAAATACACTCAGCAACCTTTATAGTTCGATTTGCTAGTTATAATGCAAACTTTCTACGACAATAATTTTACTAATTTTAATGGACATTAGAAGATTCTAAATTTAGACTAAATTATTGTTTTGTTAAATTTTAGCCGCTGATATATATTAGGTGTTCTTAATTTTCATTTGAAATTTTACAATACATCATTATAGAGAAGATAATTATATTTTGATTTGTTTTGATATGACTAAACATTGAAATATAAAAGCTCACCAAATGTTTGAGAATAGAATGAATGAAAAATATAAATGAATTTAGACATAAAGAAAGATTATAAGTTTAAAAATGCAATGGCAGATGTTTTATTATCGACGTCATTTGATAGTATTATTTAGTGGGGAAAAAAGAAATTGACAATAAAGATGAAGATCACATCATAACATATAGTCTTCCTACGCAATGAAATGATTTGGAGCTTTCAAGTACTTCATACTTGAATCTTTTATCTCAATAGTTTTATTATCATCGTCAATTCATTTATAATAAATTGACTAAAAAAAGATATGTTCGAAGAATAATAACTGATTATTTTTCTTTTATCAAATAATTCGCAATGTAAACGTTGATAAATTGTCATTTAACGATATGTATAGATACCATATTTACTTTGATCTTAGCTATTCATGTTAATCAATCAAACGAACAAATTCATCTATACTCATCATTTATATGGCTTGATAAGAGAAAAAATAGATATAATATATTTACTTTTTTTCTTCTTGCGTTTTTTTTTCAGCTAAGCATAGATTTGCATTTCTTTGATAAGAAGAAGACAAATCGAAAACTGTTATGGACTCATAATATTATTTTTTCTCTTCTTCACATACTACCATTTATTCGCCCCCGCCACCATCAAAGATCATGATGAATGAATCAGTCAATATTGTCAACTGATGTTATTTTTTCTCTTTCCTTTCCTACCAAACGAGCAACTGGCTGAGAAAGAAAAAAATCGAATGAATTTTTTTTTCGCTTAACAACTATGTGATTCATTGATTCATATTTATAAATCGAAAAATTAGTAACACACTGTGACATTTTTTCGAGCATGAATTTTTTAAGTCGCAAACTAATCGGACCACCTTCATCGCCATCAGTATTAAATACTGCTAGATCTGGTCCTGAAGCATTCGCATCTAATTCTGCATATGGACGAGGATTTTTTGAACTTGGGGCTTATTCAGTTGCTTTAAAACGATGTGAAAATGGCCATGATCTAGCTCAACAACTTGCAGATATGTTTGAAGAACGAGCACAACTTGAATTAAATTATGCAACTCAATTACGTGGTTGGTCACATAAATGGCGTAAAGATTTAACAAAATCACAAGAATATGGAACAAATAAAATAGTTTGGGATGAAACTGCAAAGACAGGTATGTTTTTTTCATTTTTTTTTAAATTTCATTGGTTTTATCAGACAACTAAAACAGGTGAATTGATGGCTGATGTTCACTCAATACTATCAACATCATTGAGTGAATCATTAATTCCAAAACTTCGACAATGGCGTAAAGATCGTTATGAAAAATCTTTATTACAATATAAAAAGACGAAAGAATTTGAAAAAGAATTTCTTGATGCCCAAAAATCTTGGAGTAAATTATTAGAAAGAATATCAGAATGTAAAACAGCATACTATTCTGCATGTAAAACAGCTAAATTAGCTGATGATGCTGAACGTACAGCACCTGCTGATCAACAAAAAAAATATGCTGATAAAGCTGAAGTAGCAAGACGTGAAATTGGTTTTACAAAAACAAAATATCAACAAGTTATTAATGAAGCTAAAGAACAAAGACCACGTTATGAATCAGCAATGAAAGAAGTTTTTGAACGTACACAAGCATTTGAAAAAGAACGTTTGCAATTTTTCAAAGAAACATATGACGAATATTCAAAATTATTAGAAACAGTGACATTAGATAAGTAAGTTCATTATTTTATAAATTTTGTTTTGTAAAATTGTAAGTTTTCTTTTATTTATTTTCTTTTGAAAGTTCGATTTTGAAAAAGATGAATGATGATTATAAAGCTTCTTTATCTACACATCATCCTGAACAAGATTTAGCATGGTGGGATCAAAATTATGGTATGTTATTTATTCTTACTTCACATACAATTTCTTTAGTTTTTTTTTTGTCTCATAAAGGTACTCAAACAAATTGTCGATGGCCTGAATATGAAGAATATAGAGATTAAATTAATATTTCTGTAATGTATTCATGATAATTTAGCACTTTTACTTTAATAATATATTTCACTGTATCGATTGTTGTTTTGTGCACAGAAATAAAAGTGTGTTTTAAACTTGTTGCTCTTTCATTGCCATCGCTGACACATTGAATGAAACACTGACTTTCATGTGCACTACATCAAGAACACTTATTATTCGAATCAGAGACGTTTAATAACAGTTACAGAGATTATTCAAGATATTTTTGTCTGTTCGACTACTATACAATTTTTATTACATCTTTTTTTCCCACATACTTATTGTCATATAATTCTATTGTTAAATCTAATGTGTTAAGGATTCAAAGAATAATGACGAAGATGTTTGTCTTGAAACATTGTAGTTTATTGGTTTCTTTGGCAAAATATCGATTTTCAGATAAATGAAGATTAATGAACCATTATTTACCGATAATATTCATTTCTATTGGTTTTGTTTTGATTGAGATAGGGTGTGAGTGTGGCTATGGGTGCCCAGACCAGAATTACACTTACATTCATCCGCACTTATTTCAACTCCCACAACAGAACCAACACCTACACAATTACAATCACACCCACACCAACACCCTCAAACATCAAGCAACTTTCAATAGCAAGCAACTCTTGTTTATCTGTTTTCGTGCTAGTAATGTTGTGGTTTTTCGACGGTTGCTAGTGAATTAGCCTAATTGTAATTCCACAAAAATAATTCCGTCAAATACACAAATTTGATGAATCAAACTTGATTGGGGGTTCTATTGCAATATTTGTCGGATGGATGGCATTTGGCTGATTCTTTCAATTGGATAATATGACGTTTTGTGATACAAGAAGATGCTAGAGCGAATGGAGTTACGCTTTGTTTAGTTTCTGCATCTTCTTGATCGCATCGTTTACATCAAAAGTACACATTTATATACGTAATCCGAAATGAGATACAGACAATTACAGAAAGGATGACTACGAAAGATGGCCGAGATCTCTCTGATATCACACGTAGCCGTATAGAGTTATGAAGGAACGAGGAGGTATAAGATAACACAGATGATGCAGGTAGGTTGAAATGTTATGTGCGGACAATTGATACAACTATGAAGTGATGATAGATAATGACACGCAAGAAATTCAACCAAAAACGTTATAGATACTGTTAAGAAGAGGAGAGAGCGGAAGTTATCTTGATTAATCCGTTACGTTACATGGTAACTCGAAAAGAAAAATTCGTCTACCTAACTTCCCGATATCTCATGAGTATTTGTGGGAGATATTGATTTTTAAAAGCTCTTGTTCAGGTTATCAAGATCCACAATTTCAAAACTATAATCGATTTCTCACAATTGATCACAACGATTTCTCTTCAGAGAAGATCAATATTTTCTTGAAATAACTTTCTTTTATAGAGACATAATGGTGACGAATTGCGAGAAACCGGTTACAACTAGGCATGTACCGAGCACAAATAGCTCGGAATCGGTTAGGCTCGGCATATGTCAACTTGCAGGAATGGTCACGTGTTTGGACGTTGAGTGGTAGTGAAATGAATGCGAACGTGTAATCAATACTAAATAAATGATGTCTAACAGAAGTTGAACTGAAAACAGAACTGTCCATCAGTAGCGTAGTATCGAAGGAAGAAGAATGAAGAGTGCTGCTAGAAGATTTCTTTACTCGTCTCTTCTCTACGCTCTTGTGAATATAACTGATAAGTAAAAAACGAAAAGAAAGAGAGACAGAAAGAAGACAAAATTACCGAAGAAAAACTATGAGAGAAAAAAACAGAGACAAATATCTTGAACAATGTGAAGGCATATGAGTAACATGTCTGTAACAAGCGCCTATACAATCAAAGAATTCTAAAAATATTGAAAATGAATAAAGACAGTGGAACTTATTTGATTCGATCTATTTTTGACTTCGAAAGAGAATTCTTGTTGCTTTAAATTCTGTTTTGTACATCTAAGGATAGTTGTATATTAGTTCCACATTTGAGTACTATCAGAAGCTGTGCTGATTAAAAATATATTACATGAAGCATTCAAGAAGATTGCAATATAAGTCCAACATATATGAAAACTTGCAGCGTTGTATATACTTCCACAAATATATACATTCGCATATGAAAATCCATAAGATCTTACGAACATGCTTTTAGAGCACAATAATTATTTCATTTCAAAGCTGAATACAACTGCGCCAATCATCACGTTACTCTAGTTTAGATATAGGCACTCTTTCTGATATCATTCTAACTTTAGCAACAATACCTGATTTCGTTGGACTCTACTTTGGCGGTGCAATCACGAATAACGACGTAACTGTTTTAACCTTTGACAATAAATATAATCAAAAGCATTGCTCGTATTCTAACAAATTGTGAACGCACGGCGTCTCATATTCAATATTGCTGCTGACGTCGAGACTTTTCCTTGTCTGGTTTATTATATTTTCTTCCGTGGGAAGGAACAACTGTGGCATAGACCAGATCCAGATATGAATGAGTTATAAACTATGAAGTAGATTCTTGTTTGAAACTTGTTTGTCTTTTGAAACTTTCTATCAAAGAAACTATGCGTCGGACCAGATGAAAGAGAGTTGATAGCAGTTGTCGTTGTTACTGTTCTGATACTACTAGTTATTTTTCTCGATGATAATAATGTACAATGAGAGTGGAGGTGTATCACGAGCAACCATGACATCTGTCGACTTTGCTTAAGACCCTCATCAGATAGTTTTTGATTCTATAACTTTTTAAATGATTCGAAGATCACAAATAAGTTATATAATCGACAATTCTACAAGAAGTTCCTAAAAGAATGCAGCAAAGTAGCAGATATCTGTATTTCAGTGATGTGTCAAGCGCAACTATAATGCGTTTCGACCTTGTTTAAAGATGTCATCAGATGGTTTTCGACTCTATGGCATTCTTAAATGAGTGAAAGGGACAGCTGTCGCGTAGCAATCGGTGATTGTATGTTTCAAGTATTTTGAAGGATAAAAGTGACTCTGGTTGTGTTTCTATGATGATCACTCGAACGGATAACAATAATTGCATTCAGCTCTTTTGTGCTGTTTTGATTATATTTGACATGATCTTGATGGTAACAATCGCAGCATAAGAATTAGGTTATATGCCATTATCTTCTTGTGAACAATACCTAATCAATAGGTCTGTACGCTCGCTAGAATTTTTCTCATAGAACAGTCTGTTATAAATGTAAAGCCCATTCTATTCACTGTGCCTGCCTTGTGCATTTGAGACATGAGTGTGTATAGATCTAAGCGTGAGAGTATGGGTGAGTGTGAGTGTTTCACTCTACAAAAACGTACTCCTGGAAATCTACAGAGTTTCCAATTCTGTCATTAGATGAAACCTTGTATAGGTTTCTGACCTTTCGAATATTTATTCGAAGATTTCAAAAGTCATCAAGAAACGTTACTACAGCAAAAAATCTAACCAAGGCTTCTGGGTGTGATTGTAATCTTCTATTCTCACAAACCCACATCTCTTTTCTCATTTTTAGCATTTTGCTGAACGCTTTTAACTATGAATGAAATAAAATCAAGCTTATAAAAATTGTATTCAAATAATTTTTTTATGTCAATGTAATTTTTGTTGCTAGACAGAACTTCAAAATTAATCTAATAAGTTTCATCATTTTTCAAAAATTTTCAGAAAATATTACAGCTGTGTTGAAAGAAAAGGAGAGGGAAATCAATCTTGCCATTCTTCGTATTGTTGTAGTCATCATATTAAAAAACATGAAATTCTATTTATTTTTCATTGTATTTGATTGATGTCTAGTGAAAAAAAGAACTATCACCCATGTTACTGCAAAAATTAAATCAGTAAGAATTTGTCCTTTCACATCTTTGTGTAATGTTTGAACTCGAGCTTCGACAAATATTCTCCACATAGCTAATAATAAATGTATTAAAATACAACCTTTGGAGAAATATCTAAATGAAATAGAAAAAGAAAAAGATTTGATCGAAGCATTGTTCAATTGAATTTTACCGTTGAAATTCTATCTGTTCAACATGAGATACCATATAAAGAAGAATAGCTATGAAGATAAGCATCATACCAACAAGTGATTCAGATGTTTGTATAAGTTGAGATTTTTCATCTTCATCGGTTAAATGTAATTTTTTTGTTACTTCTTCACCATGTGCCAAACGAGCAAGAGTACTTACACTGAGTACCATAAATGAACCCATAAAAACATTAATAAAAGCATGAAATAAACAAACTATACGAAATAAGGACCATGAAGACATTTTGTGAATATCAAAATATTTATATGCTATTTATCTGTTGGCTTGTAGTGATGGTTGACATTTAGTTAGTTTGTTCTTTCTTTTTCTATAAGAACAGTTTTGACCAACGAAAATAAATACAGAAGCCTCCGCAATAAGAATAATAATAAAAAAAGCATGTTTGATAAAAAGAAAAACTAATTAAAATTATACTTCAATTCAATTATTATTTATTCATAAGGGACGAAGAACGACTTAAGTTTTATTTATTTATATTAAATTGTTTGCATATCTGAAACTCGTTCATTAGCATCTATGGAATGTAGAAATGCCGTGATCCGCCTCGGAAAGACCACAAAAATTTATTTATTTTTTTTATTTTGACTTCAAACTTTGTGAAAGGACTGACTTTAATGAGAATAGATTTTTGTGACTGTTTCAGATCTTTTCGCTGTTCCTATCTTAATATACAACTAAAATAATACCGTGTCTTTGACACTGCTCAGATCAATCCACAGATTTGATACTCTTACCGTAAAAGTGCAGTATCTCCATAACAATGAGCTAAGAATTTGAACTCTTTTTCAGAATATTCATAATCAAAGCTGTCAATTCTACAGTACAATTCATCGAAGGTAGCACAAGTTTCACCGTAAATAGCGGTTGTATGGTTGATTATTACCCTTTATTATATTGGTAATAGAAGTGATTTGGTTGATGTAATTTTA